TCCAGATGCATGGGTCCCGACGATTATTAGAGGCTGGTCCTCCTCAGACACCTGCCTGCCATCTGTGGAGAGATGTCAGAGCGAGCCCGACAGACTGTGGTGTCTGACATGTCAACGGTGGGTGCCTCCCGGGGTGGCGCAGCGCCTACCTGCCCCTCAGAGTTGCCTCCCAGTGACCCCAAGTGACCCCAAACCACAGGGAGACAGCCCCGAGGTGTGCTGGGTGGCTGGGGAGGGAGGGGCCGCGAGGGACGGGTCTGTTTCCTTTCGCAGCCCTGTCCCACCCCCGCTGTCCGGTCCCGTCCTCAGCAGCTCTGGCTGGGTGGGCTGTGCTGGCCTGCTCCCTGGGTCACTGCTGTTTGCCAGGGTAAACAGTCCCCAGAAAGTGAGCATGAGGCTCTCCCAGCATGCAGCCCCAGATGGGCCTCCGTGCCCCCCACGGGGCCCAAGGGGACAGGGCTGGAGTACAGACTGTGATCAGAGTGGCCACATTCAGGTGTCTCCTCTCTTTCTTCCTCCTCCTCCTCCTCCTCCTTCCCTTTTTTTTAAACTGGGGGAGGGGAGAGGGGAGAGACTGTCTTTGATCTCAGTGGAGGAAAAAAGTCTGTTCTGTTCAGGCTTTTGGCTAACACAACAAACAGTGTTTAAAATTTAACTTTGCTTAATTAATTAGTGATTCTGTTTAATGCTGTCTGATCTCCCTCCAAAAGGTATTCTGAAGCTTGAGAAGGGAACATCAAAGCGAGCTGGGTGAAGATGGTCAAGTAATGCATTTAATCTGGCAGTTGTTGGGGGTGGAGAGCAGCCAGGTTGGGAGCTAATGTGGGAGAGGATTGTCATTTGGTAAACACAGAGCGGACTCCTTGTGGCTGGGGCTGTGGTGGAAGGAAGGATAGGGAGCAGCTTCCAAAGAGAAAGAGCTCCACAAACTGTCCCCAGACTCACTGGGGCTGAGAATCAGTTTTAAGAAAGCAAAGTGGGAATTTTCTATCTTCCGTGGCCACCGTGTATGGTTGGGCAGGTTGTGTACTGCACAAGGGTTTCCGGCTAAAGAAGAAAAAGTTGTAGGTGAAATGCAGTTCATCAAGCATGCACCCTGGTTGGGGTGGAGGGCTGCATTTGCAGAGAGCAGCTGTCCAGACTCTTCTGCAGAGAGCCAGATAGTACCTGTCATTGGCTTTTGTGGGCCACATAGTCTCTGATGTGACTGCTCAAGTCTGCTTTTGTAGGGCAGAAGTCACCAGAGACAACGTGTGTGATTGAGGCTGTGTCTCAATAAAACTTTATTCAAAGACCAATGCAGTTCCCAGTTGGTTTCTGCACTGTTGCAGGAAGTGCTTCCTAGGCAGGTGGAAGGCCTCTTCCTCCCCTCCTCTCCCTTCCCCTCCCCTTCTTTTTGGATCAGAGGCAGAGGGTAGAGGAGACTCAGATGCCGAAGTCTATCTCAACAAAATGCTGTTCCTCTGTCCTGGCTGGTGTGACCACGGCCTGCGTGAGCACCCTCGCGGCCTGCCCGGAGCCTGCCGCGGGGTGGGTTCTGCTCTGCACAGGGTGCCCTGGGGACTTCGGAGGATCCCCTGTGGATCAGCCTCAGGGACCCTGAGTCCCAGTCTCTGCCCCTGGCTTGGGGCCTGGGTGGCGTTGGAGGGTTCTCTGCCTCTGCCTCTTGGGTGGGAGACAGCGAAAGGTGGAAAGGCTTGGGGTGGGGACAGGGGCATGCTGATTGTCCTTGTACCTGACCCTGGGTCACAGTGCTCCTTCCCATGTGTGCTGTCCCGGCCTGGGAGGGGCCTGGCAGGCTAGGGACCCCTGGCTGCGAGGTCTTCGGGGCTGGGATGAGGTGCAGAGAGGACGATCGGCCAGGCTGGGCTCTGGGGACGCCGTGTGAGGGTGGGGGGCCCCCACCGGGGTGAGGAGAAGGGAAGGGGACAGGGGAGGACCTGAGGGGACACGGGCTCTCCTGGGCGTGGCCAGGGTGGATGCTCCAGGGAGGACGAGGATGAGGATGGAGGTGGACCGTGAAAGGCCACACTGACCCTGAAGGTGCCTCTGTGATAACATCCCTTTGAACTTGAACTTGGGTTTCGAGAAGCCTGCCCACTGCGTCTCTGGCCCCGGGTGGAAGCCGTGACTTTGAGGACGGCCGGGCGGGCATTGTCTTTCTTTCTCCCCCACCCCCACCGCCAGCCCCGGGGAGGGGGCATGGAGGGGGCGTGGAGGGGGCTGTGGCAGGCCACCCTGTCTTCCTGGTTTTACTCAGTTGGGACAGTTTTGGAACAAGGGCATCATGTGGATCTGGGCTCAGCCACATCTTTTCCAAAGCCAGCATCTATTGAGTGCTTACTGTATGCCAGCCACTGCATTCAGGGAGCAGTCTCCTTGTGGCCCTCTCCCAGCAGCTCTAGGAGGGAGGTGCCTCAGCCTCCACTTTACAGAAAGGGGACTGAGGTCCAGAGACATCAAGGGCCTCGTCCAAGGCTGCCCAGGCCAGAGGTGGCAGAGTCAGAAGGTCATGGGCCCCCAATGTGCCCTCTGGATGGACACTCCTGCCCAGCCCTGCTGCACCTGCGGGTTAGGCTGACGGCTTCACTCAGTGCTGGGACGGGGCACCCCCAGCTCCCCGACTTGGGATGGCAGGAGGGCCACCTGCTTGGTGGCCTGGTGGAGGTGCCGGGGCCTGTGAGGTGGCAGCTCTGACCCAGCAGGGTACCAGGTAGATTTGGGATGCAGGTGGTCCAGGCTGGATGCTGACTGTCCCTGGGTCCCTGGCTGGTCACCTGCTTGGCCTCCGGGGGCTTGGGGACCCCCTGGAGTGGAGTGCCCTGCCGTGGGGGTTGCTTTAGAGGAGCAGGGGTGAGGGCTTTGTGCAGCGGCCTGCCCCAGCCTCTGTCCCCCGGGGCAAGGGCGCCAGGGCCCGGCCCTCCAGGGGGACGCTGCTGTTCTTCTAGGTCAGCGCTCGGGTGGCCTCGTCTGTGCAGCCACAGCCCAGGAGCTGGTCAGTTTCTGTGCCCAGTCCCCCACGGGGGCTCCCGATGGCTTTAGGAAACTGTCACCTTGCCGTAGGGGACGGAGGGACAGAGGCGCTCTGTGCTGGAGTGGGGGAGACGAGGACGGGGCCGCGGGGAGCTGGGGAGGGCCGCTGTGGGTGCTGCGTGGCCCTCCTGAGCCGCCCGTCTGCGCCAGCTCCAGCGCCCTCCCGCCTGCCCCCAGCCTGTTGGGTGGATCGAGGCGCCTCCTGACTCCCCGGGGACTCCCGATGGCCTGCGTCCCCTGACCTGCTGGGGCTGGACCGTGCGCTGGCCCGGCCTCCCGGCCCTTCACAGTCAGCTCATGGCGTCCTCACCCGAGTCCCCTGGGAAGGAGCCATTAGTGTCCCTGATTGACAGCTGGGGAAGTGACACCCGGGGAAGGTTCAGGACCCGCTGGGGTCAGGGTCAGCGCTGGGAGGACCTGGCCCCGGGCAGAGACAGAGCGCTCCCCGGTCAGTGGGAAAGGCCGGCGGTGGCCTGCGAGGTCTCCTGAATGAAGCTGTGAAGGGCTCCGCGGGGCAGCCTGGCAGGTGGCCCAGGTCCCAGCCCTGTCCTGTCCCCACCTCACCCCTTGGCACCCCAGTCCCCTGTGGGAAATGGAGCTAATGGGAGGACCTGCCTCACCAGGCCCGCGGGAACCAAGGTGGGAGACGGCGTGTGCTCGGCCGTGTGTACAGGGCCCGGGCATGGTGGCCCGGGCATGGTGGCCCCGGATATGACAGGAAGGGTCACTGAAGAGAACTGCTGGGAAGAGCAGCCACCTCAGGACAGGAGCTGGGAAGGGCTGTGGTCCTGGCCCCACGAGGGAGCCCAGCCGTCCCTCCCCCAGCTGCTCGCGGGGCACGTGTGCCAAGCTGGGTGTGCAAGCCCGTGGGGGGCCACGTCCCCACCCCACTCCTGGCCTGGCACCCATGTCTCCAGGTTCCTGCCATTCTGGGAAGTCCAGCCGTGCCCTTCCGACTGATTAGGGCCCCTCAGCTCCTCACAGGGCTCCTGCTAGACTGGCCACCCCAAGTCGGGATGGCCAGGGGAGGTGCCTGAGGGGGACCAGGAAATGGCGGCCCAGGGTCAGCAAAGGGGATTTAAGGAGGGAGGGGCTGTGGGCGTGTCGTGCACAACAATCCAGTCTTCCGCTGCCAGGCAGGGCCGGGACGGGCAGGAGGGGCCGGGCAGGTCCTGATGGCCTCTGAAGTTCAGATAGGGACTTGTAGCCCGGGTCCTGGGTCCAGGTTGGGGGTGCTGCCCAGAGCTGCCCTTCTGCTGTCTCTCGGAGGTGACCATAGGGAAGAGGTGCCCGTAGGTCCTCCTCCTGCTCTTGAAAGAACACAGAGAGCCAGGCCCTCGGGCAGAGGGGGGACCTGGGCCAGCAGAGTGGGCACACAAGGCCCAGGGCGAGCAGCCCCCGGAGACCCTTGGTGTGAGGCGCCGGTGCGCCTGTCCCTTTGTCAGTCAACCCAGCTGAGCTGTCTGCCACTCAGCCTGTCTGCCCACTACCGTCCATATGCCGGGCCAGGCAGGTGGCATCTTTGAGAAGGCCAGGACGTGAGCACAGGAGGCAGCAGGACAGTGCGGGAAATGGCCGTTGCCCCTGTGTTTCCTTCTCTGGCTCCCGATGCTCCTGTGCCCTCATCCACCTGCTCTGTGGCCTGAGCCTGCCCTGAGTGGCCATGTCCCTGTGGGGCACCAAAGTCACAGGCTGCTTTACCTCAGCTGCAAAATGTCAGCGAGTGGGGAGCCCAGGCCACAGCGGTGCCCTGAGTGACTGGTGTGGACGCACCCTGGAGGGCCTCTGGGCAGCCCGGCCTCCCCGGGGCCAAGAGTAAGGGCAGCAGCGCTGGCCAGCGGGCAAGGCAGGGTGCGCCGGGCACTGTGGTGAGGGTGTCCTGCACTGCAGTCCCCGGGACAAAGCCTTTGCAGCCCCCCTCCAGCCCCCCCCAGCCCTCCCCTCATGCTTTCTCCCTCCCCCCGCAGTGGCCCTGCCGCCCGAGAAGACCGACGGCCCAGGCCCGGGCCCAGGCCCAGGCGGTGGAGACGGGAAGAGGCTGGAGAGGGGGAGCGAATCCTGCCCGGGCTCCAAGAAGCAGCTGAAGTTCGAAGTGAGTGTCCCTTGCTGGGGCCGAGCCCCGGGGAGAGGCCGGGCCGTCCCTTCCTGTGTGCTGGGCAGACGAGAGGCCCTCACCTGAGGAGCCGCCACGGCGAGAGACTCCTGCTGCCACCTCAGGGCGTCCTTGGCTCAGCCCCGGGACCCCGTGCTGCCCGTCCCTGGCCTCGCCGTGTGGGCAGGGCCAGAGCACCAGGGAAGGGCCTGGGGTGGTGGGAAGACAGGCTGTGACCCTGTCCGCTGCGTCCTCTCTGGGCCTGATCCTTGGCCTCCTCGGCTGCCCCTGGAGGCTGCCTGGCACACAGGTGGGGCTCTCAGGTGGGGGGTGACCAGGCCTCAGTTTCCGTGGGCTCAGCCTAGGCACGTGTCCTCCCAGAGCTCCTGTCTGCGAGGCCTGCCCCTGGCCTGACCCCAGCGGTGCCCGAGGCCCGTCTGCACACGGAGCCCAGGGCCAGGGGTGGAGAGCGGACCCAGCCGCTGCGCGGAGCTCGCCTGTGCCTCTGGGCCCTCCCTGTCCTCCCTTGGCCTCTGCTCTCCACCCCAGGCCCCGGCCAGGGCTCGGAGTCGGCTCTGTGACTGTGGGCAAGTCCTTAAGCCCAGCCTCCCTTGCGTCACCTGGGCAGTGGGGATGGCCATGATCTCAGCACGCAGGGAGGCTGTGTGGCACCCGCTGCTGAAGAGGGTGTCCCTCACCGTCCGCACGTCCCTGCCTTCCCACCATTGCGGGTTGGGCACCTGGTGGTGGCCAGGGGCCCAGCAGTGACCTGGGCACAGATTTTGCCCTGACAGAGTGAGCAGCGTGGTCAGGGGGACAGAAGAGGGACCCCGACGAGTGGCCGCACAGATGAGATGGGCATCTGAAGGGCGGGTGGTCACCCAGTGGGCAGAGGTGGGGACAGGGGTACAGGAGGGGTGCTTTGGGCGTCTCACACCGCGGTGCCTGCGGAGGGGCAGTGTGTGGCAGGTGGCACTGGGGCTGCGCCTCTGTCTGCAGGAGTAGGTTTGGGGCCAGGGTGCCAGGGAGCCCTTGGGACAGTAGGGCCCTTCACGCCCAGCGGCCAGCAGGAGCGTGGGGCCTGGAAAGGCCCCGCCTGGTGTGTGGGATCTGCTGAGTGGGGGCCTGCCCAGGGGTGGTGGGCCTGGGGGCAGTGGGGGAGACAGGCCAGAGGCCCTAACTGCAGGGCTGAGGGGTCCAGGCAGGGTGTCCATGCGGGGCTAGGGCTGCCCCCTTCTCCTGGAGCTCAGCCCTGTCCTGAGCCACCTGGGTCCCCACAGGGTCTCCTGGGTGCCTGGCACAGCTGAGGGCCAAGGCCAGCAGCCGGAGGAAGGTCCAGACCCAGGCGTCTGGCTGCTGGAAGCCCCAGGGTGCTCTGGGACTGAGCCGTGCGTGGCCCGTGGAGAGCGCTCACCTGAGAAGCCCAGGTGGGTAGGGCGGGGCCGAGCAGGGCGCGCACCGCGGCGGCCGGGCGATGGCCGCACTCGCCTTCCGAGGGCCTGGTGTCACTGTCTGGGAAACGGTGGACGCTCCGTGTGGTTAGGCCTGTGTGCAGGTGTATGTGGGCACAGGTGTGTATGCGGGTGGTGTGGGTGTAGACGTGTGCAGGGGTGTGTGGTCAGGCATGGGTGTGGACATGTGTGTATCGGTGTGGTAATTAGGCGTGTGTGGGTGTGTGTGAGGTGTGTGGATGGGTAGGGGGGGTAGGCGTGTGTGGGTGTGTGTTGGTGAAGGCACATGTGTCGTGACGCCCTTGGAGAGCAGGGCAGGCCTTGGCGCGTAGCTCAAGGACTCGTCAACACTGAGGAAGGCCGACATTGAACTCGGGGGGCCTCCAGAGGAGCAGACGGCAGGGAGGCCAGGCAGGGAGGCCGCGCTGAACATACTCCTGCCAGCCTACGCAGGCCGGGTCCCCCTTTGGGGGGTAGAGCCTGTCGTCCTGCCTTGTGAGCATGTGGCATGTGGCAGAGGAAGGACAGGTGGAGTGAGACCCTCGGGGCACACCTGTCCTCAGGTGTACGGAATCTGGCGGCTCTTGAGGGCCTCTTTCCCCAAGTGGCGCTCGTTGGAGCCCTGTCCCTGTGATCCCAGCTGGCCTCCGCCTACAGACCGTGGTGACGGAGCGCACCACCTCCCAGTTCGGGTCCCTGGAGTTAGACATGGGCGCTGCCAGCTGCGGTGAGGAGCTGGGTTGACCGTCAGAGCAGAGGACAGCCGCCACGGACTGGCTCTTCCTGGGGCCAACTGTGTGCTGAACGCAGAGTGGGCCACCCGTGCTCCCCGTCCCTTCCTGCAGAGTGGACCTTAGACCAGGACATGGGGATGGACGGTGTCCTGGAAGGGTCCCAGGAAGAGGTGCTCGGGAGCAGGGGAGAGAGGCTCATGAAGGGTGGGGTGACACACGGGTCCCCTCCACCGGCAACCGGGGCTCTGTCCCTCTGGAGTCAGAGGAGCCATACAGCAAGTGCTCAGTGTGTCCCATGGAGAGGTGAGGAGGTGGGTGTTCGTCCCCTGCCTCCTGTCCCCTGCCTCCTGTCCCGCCCCTGTCCAGGGTGCCTCTGGGGTCTTCGGGGCTGCGCCAGCTGGTGCCTGTGGTGGGAGGTGGACGTGCTGACCGTGCTGCGGCTGCGGGGGGAGTTTCCTCTTCTCAGCAGTGTGACGGGCTAGAGGCTGACATTCTCCGTGGTTTATGGAGGGGAAACTGAGGCACGAGGACGCGGTGGCTCCCGTGTCCACAGCTGTGGAGAGCCCAGCTGGGCGAGGCCTGGTGGAGCCTGGAGTTTCAGCTGTCCCCGGCCATCCTCGGCTGCCTCACTGCTCAGGTGGCCCGTCCCGGGTCCTGCCTGGCTTCCGGTTGCCTTCCAGTGGCTCCTGGCCCTTGGTCCAGGCTCAGCCTCCCTGAGGCCGCGAAGCCTCCTCCCAGATGGCGTTCCCTTGCCTCTGAAGACCCAGAGGCCGCTGTGCCCGGTGGGTCTCTCCCTGGTCACATGTGGGTCATTGTGCCCCTCTTTCCCTCAGGGTCTGGGGAGGCCGGGGGCTGCCCCATGGCCTGGCCTCTGGACCCAAGACTTCGGCCAGTGTCCATGTGGTGGGTGACCAGTCCTGTCCGTCCGTTTGTGTCCAGGAGCTACAGTGTGATGTGTCCGTGGAGGAGGACAGCCGGCAGGAGTGGACCTTCACCCTGTATGACTTTGACAACAATGGCAAGGTCACCCGCGAGGTGAGTGCACCTGTGGGGTCTCCTGCCACCGTCAGGCCCCTGGGCCTGGGGACCTGACCCTCCGCCCATGCCAGTGTGCTCCTGAGAGAGGGTGCAGCTGGCAGGGGCTGGGGTTGGGGGGTGGGGAGCGAGGCGCCAGGAGCTTCGGGGAAATGCAGAGGCCCTCCTGGTGCCGCAGGGATGCGGGGAGAGGTGACGGGCAGGAAAGGGCACCCAGGCCCTGCACTGAGCCTGGCCAGTGCTGCTGGGGAGGGCCAGGAGGCCCACAGTGGCCTGGAGAAGGACCAGTCCCAGGAGAGTCCTGCCTTGTTTACTTCTCCACGTCCCCAGCTCTAGGGGCGGGGCCTGGCCACCCCAGGCCACTTCCGGTGCCCCGGCTGTTTGGTTCAGGAGCTTGGGCAGGGCAGGCACCCCAGGCCCCACGGTCCCTCCTGCATTGTCACAGGAATGAGCGGCCCTGCTCTCAGAGCCCGGCACGTGGCTCTGCAGCCACAGCTCTGGTCACAGCGTGCTGCCCTCGCGGTCTCCCTCGTCCTGCCCCCTCCGCGGGGCCACCTCTCTCCCCCTCAGAGCCCTCCTCCCATAGCTTGCTCCCCCAGATTCCTCTCCCCTTTCTCCATGCCGGGCAGCTGCTCCACGCCAGCTGCAGGACACGGCGGGGACGGACAGCAGGGCTCCTCACCTCTCGGCTCTGAAGACCATTTTAGGATGGCGTCAGCCGCTGAGTTCTGTGGCACTAGCAGGGCGGTCTGTGGAGCCTGCAGGGTGCAGAGAGGGCTCCCTGGAGGAGGAGCTGGGTGCTGAGCGGCAGCTGCAGGGCAGGGAGGGGAGGCCGAGCTCGAGGCCGTGGGGGAGCTGAAGGAGGCCGGCTGCCTCACAGGAGAGACACAGCTGGGCGGGGGTCTGCGGGGCCTGTCCACCAGCTCCAAGGCCCTGGAGGGCAACTGTATTTGACTGTCCATGCCAAAGGGACCTGCGGGCGGCTTGGTGCCATTCCTTTGCTTCCTGTGTTCTGGATCAGCACGGCTGGGCTCCTCACCTGCCTCTGGTCCAGCTCGGGGGACTTCGCAGTGTCCCTGAGAGGCTCAGCTGCTTTATCTCCTCCCGGGTCAGGGAGCGCTTACAGTAGATGTGGTAGATAGATTTATGGGCAACGGTGCTCGCTGTCCGTGGCTGTCACAGAGCAGCAGACGGACGGCTTGTCAGGAGAAAAGGTTGTTTCGTCTCAGAGGCTGCAGGTTCTGGTCCGTGTTTGGTTGGCCCTGTGGCCTGTGGCCTTGGGCCTGTGGTGGGTGGCACCATCTACGGACAGAACCTCTCACCTCGTGGCTGGGAAGTAGAGACAGAGGACCAGAGCTGGAGTCACACAGTGCCCTTTGAGGACACACTCCCGATGGCCCAGAGACCTCCAGGAGGGCCCCACCTTGGTCCTGGGGACTTTGCAGAGCGCAGGGTCAGGCCCCTGCTACATGCCTGCCCCCTGCTCCCACGGGCTGCCCCTCCAGGTGGAATTCCTTGTCCTCAACCCTGGATCAGCCAGGACCTGCTGGGGCCACAAGGCGGGGCCGCGCCCTCTATGGCGTCTGATGCTTTGGGGATGCGGGGGGTGGACCTCGATGGCTCCACCTTCCTGGCGACCCCTCCTGGCTTCCTGGCTTCCCAAGGTGGCGAGAGAGAGGGTGACGGGACTGTGCAGAGCGGCTCAGGGAAGGAAGGGAGGGGCAGGTCCCCATGGGCCTGGCCCCAAGAGCCGGGAGAGTCGGGGGGACCCCGAGTGAGGGCTGGAGCCTGGCTGTCACCGGCAGCCCCCCCAGTTCAGTCAGACCCCCCCACGTGCCATCTGGTCCTTCCGAGGCTTGAGTTAAACACTAAAGCGAGTTGTCCATATCCACGATTCCAGGGATTTTACAGAAGGTTCTGGATTTCTGGCTTCTCTGAGATGACCCTCAGCCCACGGGGTCAAGGGGCAAGTCAGCTGAGCTGAGGACTGTCCTCCCGTGGGTGGGACGGGCTCCAGACTGACCCACCACTCAGCTCCCCCGCCACACGCCCGGCCTGGGGCTCCTCGGCCTCCTCGGCCTCCTGGCCTCCTCGGCCTCCTCTGCCTCCTCTGCCTCCAAAGGAGGAAAGGGAGGTGGAGTCTGTCGGAGCTCACGAGCAGAAAACTGTCTGTGGACCTGGTGGACGGAGAGGAGAGATCCTTTCCAGAAGGTTCCAATATCATTTCAAGCAGGGAGCTGCCCTACAAAAGACCCCAGCGGGTCCCAGAACCAAGGGAGCCTAGCCGGGGGCCTGGGACCCCCACCCTCTCAGAGTCTTTGAGGCACAGGTGCTGCTGGAGACCCAGTTAGGGCTCCGGGGTCACCGAGGCCCGGAGAGGAGATTTGGTCGGGTTCTCGCAGACTGTCTTCTAGGGACGTCTTGGGCAGCTCAGCTGCCGTGACCGAGGGCCGCAGACTGGGTGGCTTTGACAACAGGATGGCGGGAGTGGAAGCTGGAGACCCTGGCTGACCTGCCCTCCCGCTGCCTCCTGTCGGCTCTGCCATTTGCTCCTCTTACTGGGGCAGTAGCCCTGGGGGATTCGGGCATGACCTCACTGGGCTTCGATTTAATAATGGCCAGCCCTGGATAGTCGGCACAGGACGGGGAGGGCCAAGCCGGGGTCCCAGCAGTGAGCGCCAGGCAGGCCTGTGAGGGCGCCGTGCTGACCCCCGGCGGGTGTCGCTTGCTCCCCGCAGGACATCACCAGCCTGCTGCACACCATCTACGAGGTGGTCGACTCCTCTGTCAACCACTCCCCGGCCTCCAGCAAGACGCTGCGGGTGAAGCTCACCGTGGCCCCCGACGGGAGCCAGAGCAAGAGGAGCACCCTGCTCAGTCCAGCCTGCTGCACACCATCTACGAGGTGGTCGACTCCTCCGTCAACCACTCCCCGGCCTCCAGCAAGACGCTGCGGGTGAAGCTCACCGTGGCCCCCGACGGGAGCCAGAGCAAGAGGAGTACCCTGCTCAGTCAGGCCGGTGAGGGACCCTCCGTGTCCAGGGGGCAGTGCCTAGAGAGGGAGGGGCTTCCCGGGCTCCGCGGGCAGCCACCCTGCACCTGGGGGTCTGGTGGGTCCTGAAGGCTAGGGCGGGGGCGGGGAAGGGGGTTCCCCAAGGGAGGCCCTGCTCTGGCCAGGTGTGCGGGTGGCCTGGGCCTGGCAAGCAGCCAGCAAGTGGAGCTGGGGACGGCAAGGGCTGGCCTTGAGGGCCTGCTGAGGAGTCCCAGCAGGCGGTCAGTGGGACAAGTAGCTGCGAGACCCCTGTGTTTAGTGTCGGCTCAGGGACCCTTCCACAGAGTGGTGGCAAAGCTGCTGTGGGCAGTTTTCTGTGGCTGCGTGCCAGGCAGCCCCGGGCAGGGCCAGGAGCCAGCCACTCATGGATGCTTCTTGTGCTGCGGGGGGACTCAGACCTGCAGAGCTCCAGGCCCAGAGCAGAGACCAAGCCGGCCGAGGAGCTGCGGAGCTGGGAGAAGAGGCAGCGAGCGCCCCTCAGGTACGGGAGGCGTGCACCGTGGCAGCCTGCTGCTCCTGACACCTATTGAGCACCAGCTGTGTGCCTGCACCTGAGAGATGCCGAGCCAGAGGCTCCAGTCTGGCTCTCTTCAGGGGCTGAGGATCTCGCACACAGCTCCACAGTCAAACCTTAGAAGGCTGAGGAGCTGTGGCCCGTGTTGCTGATGCCGAGCCCCGTGGCAGTGCGTGGGGTGGACGCAGCGTGGGCTGGGTGCCTGCGCACCTCCCCTCCCTGTGGACGGGCTTGGGGCAGCTCCTGGGACTCCGCGTGGTGGTGTCCCTGCTGGGTGAGGTGGCCTGTTCCCATGCAGTAAGACAAAGCCCAAGTGCCTCTCCCTCCCTAGGGTGGCCTGGGACACGTCTATTTTCAGACATGGGGGGGATCAAAATTGTGGTAACAGCTCACGAGGCTGCAGTTATGTCACCTCTTGTCACTTCTGCACCTGCAAAGGGGATGGGAGAGGCTATTTAAGGACAAGCTTTGAGTGACAACAGAGCGGCAGGTGTGCAGCCAGTCACACCTGTGGGTGCGCAGCATAGAAGCACCTAGAGGGGTCAGTCCTCTCCAGGACGGAGAAGGCAGCTGGTCAGAGCAGAGTGTGGCAGGCAGAGGCTGGGCCAGAGGCCAGC